TATATATATATATATATATAAAGTTACAAAATGTTATGACTAAGCTGTAAACTAAACAAACCTGCAGATTAAGATGATAGAAGTTGTGACTATTATAGCTTGCTTCCAATTTAACAGCTTCCACAACTGTTGTCAATAATTCCTCATCACCAGCTTTGCAAGACGGCGCCACCAATAGCTCAATCTCATAATAGTCAATCTGACTTTCTGGATCTTCAAATTCACCCCAGTGAATAGTCAAGAGTGTCGAGTCAGCGGTAAACCAAGCAGGCTAGATATTAAGATAGTAGGTTTTTATAATATTTCTTTTTTATATCGTTGTTTATAGTACAAATGACATTCAAAAAACCATAAAAGTTAAATGAAAATCAGAATCGAATCATATTTTATTTGACCTTTCTGAAATTAAAATTGAACACAATTGTTTTAAACATTCAGAAAATTTAACATACATATAAATACTAATAGGCCTAATAAAAAAAAATAATAATATAAAAATATTACTTTTAATCTGCTATTAATCAACAGAAATAATAATAGTATTAATATCATTGTGTTTACCCCTTCTAAATTGTTTAGGGATTAAAGTAAACAATCGCAGTGCCTACTTACAAAATCAACAGGTACATGTGGGTTGTTTTCAAGTCTCATTTTTCCTGCAACAGGTTTTGTCAAATCGACTTTAAAATTTTCAGTAGTTTTGTTACATTGGCCGGCTTCATCCGTTCCTGTTTCATGAGAAGGTTATGTAGTTACGTCCTTTTTTTGTTTGTGAAGTAGTTTTACTGAATTGTTTGTGAAGTAGTTTGACTGGCCTTCATTTATGGTTTGTACTAATTAAACAAATGTTTATTGAAATGTATCTATTACTTATTACAATTCTGTATACAATTGGAACTACCATTGCCGAAAGAGGGCAGTGCAGTTCAGGTGGTAGGCAGAGCGTCATTAAAAAATCATCCAATGTGTGTGGTGTTATTACATAAGTCTCTTGCAAAAATTAGTTGTTAGTATGTCCAGATAAATCACATCATAAAATTTTGCCTCTAAAAATAAACAGCAGGGTATGTAAAATGCATAATAATATAAAAAAAATACATTAGAATTTCCTTACTATTACATATAAGTCTCTTATACTTTCTGTTGAAACTTATTCAAAATTATAATACTGGGTACTGAAAGAAAAACAGCGTTTGCTTCACAAATATTGACTGATATCAATGAATTTGAGACAGATAACTTTTCGAACTGCTACCACATTATTTTTTCTATGCATACTGTACGATAAAGGTTAAATGTTAAAGGTTATTCATTTATATTGCGCAAAATACGAGGGTCTCAGGCGCAGTAATATTTTACGTGTGTAAAACATTTTTCTTTCTAGTATTTATCTAAGTGGGAATTTGATTTTCAGGATTGATTTAGTCAACATTAGCAGGCCTACTAGTGTTTCTTACCTAAGACAACAATATAGTAAGTTTGTCCATGCTCCAAACGAAGCGAAGTTGTTTCTGCGTACGTGTCTTTGCCGGAGTTGGTAACACTTACAATATCAAACCACGATGCCACCTCTGCACATTCCTTGGTTGTGCATTCACCGTTAGTCATCTGAAAAATGAAATCACATTTCAATAATATTAACTCAGCTATATAACCATGAAAATAAAAAAACATGGTCTATACTCCCATGAACACTATATAAATATATATATATATATATATATATATATATATAATATATAATGTATATACATATATATATATATGTATATATATAATATATATACATATATGTATATACATATACATAATAATACA